AATGCAGCACAGCTCATTTAAAGAAACACTATAAATGTGCATTGTTGCCAAGCTGGCCCTTAATATGACTCAGTTTGGAAGATGAACCACTTTAAACCACATAAATTAAACCACCTTATGGCAAAATACACTAGGGGGTTGAAGGTCTACTTTGCAATGATTCTTTAGTTAGCTGAGGCGTGCTTCTTTGGATTAGACCAGGTCTTCTCAACTAGGGCACTACTGACAGTTTGCATCGGACAGTTCTCCGTAGGGGTCTATCCTGTGCATTGTAGGAAGTTTAATAGCATCCCTAGAAACACTGGATGAAGCAAATGTAAAGTTCATCCTGTACTAACAGAGGTACTTTGTAATTTCCACACACACACTGCTGTTTCAGAGACAGAATATTGGATATCAACGGGCCCTGTGCTCACAAGAGCGAAGTGGTGGGCAAGGGGGGCCTCTGATGGAGGGGCGGGGGCATGGTTTCTAAACTTGCTTTCGTGGCAAATCACATTATTTTGAAATTTTAAATATTTAAGGGATACAAATTTTGTGGGCTTATCAAATGTTATTTAAAAGGTTGAGAAATTGAGGTAGAAAGTAAGAAATTACCCTGAAAATGGTATCCTTTCTTTACAAAACACAGTTTATGAAACAGAGTTCAGCGTTTAGCATCTATGATTGCAATGATATAGGATAATATTGCTAATAATAGCAGTTGTCATTCGGTGATAGTTTGGTATGTCCCAAGTACTATATTAAGCTTTTAATATACAATAGTTTATTTAAGACTGACCACCTCACATGGTAGTAAAAATAATTATCTCTATTTTACAGATAAGAAAACTGTGGCTCAGAAAAATTAAGGAACTTGTTCAAAGACAAACTATCATGTGCTTCTTTGGAACTTACAATAATATATTCATTATATATATTTTGATTAATGCCTTTTGATAAACTGATTTTTTAGCTGTCAAATATTTAATGGTCTAAAAGGGAGTTCAGTTAAGATATTTTCGTAAGTTAACACATTACTTCATCCTAATCCTAGAGGCCAAGGACAATTGACATTTAGCACTGTGGGAACCGCGCTCCTTCCATACACATTAACCAGGGAAGTGACGTACTACAGTCTTAAAACTTGGCTGGCACAGATGGTTGATGTCCTCTGCAGAAGTAGTTAAAAGGCAATTCATGGCCTATTCAAAAAATCTGAAAAGCAAAGAGATAAAAATAATACAGTGATACATGCTAAATGCAGAATTTATAATGATGAATTCCACAAGGCTGAGGAGTGATGGCAATTATGGACTCTGTGGGATTCAGCTCAGTGTACTCCGTCATGTTTACTTTTGAAGACAATTCTTAATTAGTTCTGGTGACAGCAATCTACAAGAGTACAGACAACAAATCCGTAGAAAGGTCTAAAACCTAACTTCAAGGATGATTTTAAACTTAATTGCTAACAAGTGAGATGAGTTTACAAAGGCCTGTTATCCCAGCTGACTTTCTTGAAATGCTTATTTATCATCTGGTAAAGGTGCTAGTGTGCATTTAAATGGTTTAAAAATTAGGGTAAGAAATCACAGCAAAAATGCACCACATAATTTGTACCTGAAATAACTGGGACTTTTCCACAATACTTTGACACTATATATTTATTTCTACTCTAGCAAAAGGAAAATTGAAACCGGCACACTGCGTGGCCATTTGTGGTTATTCATGTTATCTGAAATGAGTTATTTTTGCACGATAGTTGGTGCACCACCCCAAATAAGTCCTTTAATGGATGACCACAAAAAGATGTCTTCCTCCAGAAATAGATTACACACTCGCCTCCCCCAATCCTGGGTAACCAAAGTGACAAACACAGGGGAAGAAAGGCAAAGCAGCTGTGGACAGGAAACGGCCCCCTTTCTCTAGGACTGGCAGGGCTGCATGAATAATAGCTACCTCACTTTTTCAGTATAAACAAGAAATCGTTCCCTTCCCAGTTAATCACAAAGTGAATGGCAGTGTGCTCTGGGAGCAACTTCCTAGGGGTCTGAATACATTTCTGTACATACACGTTACAGCACGCATTCTAACACTGTCGACCTGTGACGGTGGTGGTTACAATGCCTTTTCTCTCCGGGGGGCTTCTCTCATTCATTCAGTCTGGGTTAGATGGTCTTCATCAATTTTCACCTACTGAGACCTGAGGGATAAGCAGGTGCTGGTTGGGCATAGAGAGAGAATAAATGCCAGCTTGGCTGCACTCTGGTTGCGTAATTTCCTCTTCATTCACCCCGTCTCATCTGTAAACACGAGCATTAATAATACCTAACTGTCATGCTCACTGTAAAGATTAGAAATAATGCAGGTAATGTGGTACAGGGGCTTAATCAATGGGAGTGGTTGTTAATGAAAGTTATGTTCATTTTGTTAGTTTGATTGTAACAGTACTCTACTGTAGCTAGGCAACTTTCCAGGATATTAGCATCATTTTCCATTATATTCAATCACCTCTTTGTTGAGTTATAAATGAAATCTTGCTTTATTTAAATTCCTGGCCTACTGGCCTGAAAACTAAAATCTATGTCTGTGTTATAATATAGGCTTATAATATATGTCTGTGTTAAAATATAATATAATATTTTCTCCCTTAGAAATGAGGGATTAAAGACTATGAGTCCTCTAATAGGCCATTCTAGGACTGAAATTCTAATAGTTTATGATGAAGAGTGTCATTTCTACTATTTCCTATGTTTTGCTTTGTTGTTAGATAGTGTTTTTATTCTGCCTCACGTTACTTATGTTCTGAAATTACTATTATTATGCATTGTAATTGCAAAAGCTGAGTTACTGGTATTGAGAGTTCTTTTTAAAAATCTTCAGTGCATCTTCCTCATGAGGTTTAAATCCAGCTGATTGATCAGCAAGGCGGCCGGCTGCACACATGGTGACAGTGCTGGGCTCTGACGGAGCAGGTGGTTTTTCTGTGCCAAAGGCTTCCCAGCAGCTACAGAGGTTCAGGGGCCACTGACAGGCTGCTCCCGTAGACCACCTGAGTACCCACAAACAAGGGAATGCTGAGCCAAATGTAACTTCCGTCTAGTTCAAGTTCCCAATACACAGATGATGAAGGCAAGGTACAGACTCCGCTTGCCAAGACTGAGTCAATAGTACAAGGACCTCTTCAATTAAGATATCACATGATCTCTGTGATGCAATGAGGTACTACTTCAGGACAGCACTCAAGATGTTACAACTGAAATCTGGCCCTCAATACCATGCTGCTCCCACCATTTTCTTTCTCTCTAGGCCTCAGGGGTTCTCTGCCTCAGCCCCAACTCTTTAATACCCAGGGATAACCTCTGCTTCAAGGTCCTTGCTTCCCTCAATTCAGTCACCCGGATAGTCCTTGAAGTGGCCCAGCGCTGCAGAAAGACTTAAGGAATTACAGGGACCTGTGTGTTGTTTATGTTACCATAGTTACTGTCCCTCTTCACAAGTGTGCTATCACTTCCTTTTGCCTTGTGGTTGGGAAGGAAGGCACTGTAGGAATGGAAACCAAATGTGGACTAGGGTTGGTGGCATCTCATCTTTCCACTGTCTGTAGTGAAGGCTCTAGTCATAGCCACTTAATAACAGCAGGACTTTGGGAAAATCTGAGTAAAGGATTCATTTGTATTACATCATCCTATGGTCCCCTCTAAGTTAAATATTCTGTGGTCCCCTAAGTTTACTTGGTAGGGAAAGTGTTCCACTCTTCCAAGTTAAACAGAGAAGCATATGTATGACACCCAGTACATAATATCGTCATTAAAGGGAAGAAGCTTTTCTATGTTGTGCATCCTTGAATGGCCAGCCAAAAGCAATGGATGTCAGAGTGCGACAGAGAAACCCAATCCCTGCAAGTTAGACTTTGAGCTGCCTTAAGCATTAGGCACACAGCTGTTAACAAGAAGTATGTAATTGCAAGACAACTCCCTTCACTCTGCTCCTAGGGACACATAAGGCTTTAGCCGCACTTCCTTTTCCAGAGCAATTAAGATAAAACGAGGGGAAGAGATTGAAAGTGTGGGTTTTCTGGAAGCAGAAACTCTTCTGGGGATTGTTCATTGGTTAACGGGCTTTAGGATGGGAAGAAAGATGTGGATGAAAGGATGGCAGAAACCAACAAGCTGCTACTTCACAACAATGGTCTTTTTACTCCCTAGCCCCCGATCCCCTACTTGATCTCACAGGAAATGCTTGGGAAAGTACATTAACTGCTTCGGAAAATGGGACAAGCTTCGGTTTTCAGACAATTCTCACACCTGAAACAAGGAATGTCCTGATTCCCGGTGACCCAACCAATCCTTTCTCTGGCTGGAAATTTCCTTTAGGTAATCTCAGTGCTTAGGTCGGTGATTCATACTTTTGGGTCAGAAACTCATTATTAAAAAACAAGCATTCTCTTATTATCATGTTATTTCTTTTTATTGCATTCTTCCTCCCTCTGGGCCTCAGCCTCAACAGTCTGGAAACTTCAGCCAGGCCTCCAAGAGCACAGAATGATCTCTGGTTAGTGGCTGAGAACTTGCACAGAGACTTCTTTTATGAAGTGTGGTCTTTAAGTCCACAGTCCATGGATTAAACTGACATCTAAAGATCAACAACTGTTACGCTGTTTATTTGAGCCAGTTGCACAAACCAAAACCAAAATAAAACTCCCTCGTATAGATGGAACATATACTTAAGGGAAAATCCATGCTACATTCGTCCCTGTAACATTTTGTATGCATAAATTAGAAAATGCCAAGAGGCCTTTTGAAAGACTGATGTCTGACCTTTGTTTTTTGAGTCAAAGAGTGAAAAAAATAAATTAATTACTGCTTTGAATCTTTAAGGATATATACTTCACTCTTTTGCCTCAGAAAGAAGACAAAATGAGATCTTTAAATGACCTGAGTAAGAGTAACTTACACTCCAGGGGCTGGCTCCACAGTCCATTTACATCTTACGACATTTGACCCAACTTTAAAGCCTACCTCCTCCTCTCTCCTTCTCCTCCTCTTCTTCTTTCAGCAGCTTGCCAATGGAATTGTACCACTTGAACTGTGGCTTGGGGATGCCATCAACACTACAGTTAATCAAGGCACTATTCCCTTCCTTGACTATGATATGGTCGGTTCTGGCAATGATTACGGGCATAAAGCCCCAGACCACGTCAGTGCCGTTTAAAGTGCTGTTAGTCACACTCTTCGCAGTCGCTAGAGTGGATACTAGGATTAAACAGGGCACAGAAGGTAGAAAGCACACAGGCAGATGGCTCTTCAATCGATCCATCTTCTTCGCTTGCTCTGTAAGGCAACAGAGATGGTTTGCCACTGGGATCTTCTGTCGGACAGCAGGCTGCTCAGAGCAGGCCATGGGACAAACCCGTGCTGGTTCCGTAGGGTTGGTTCTTGACGAAGAACCTGTTAAAAACAAATAAACAGACCACACACATAAATACTAACGTTCATAGCTTAAAAATATTATTTATAAAATGTTAGAAACCCAGCTAAAACACAAACCTACCTCATTTTTAGACAACACTCAAATTCAGATGTTTCAAATGTTGTTACTTTTTGCACAGGCATCATGACAAATAACTATTATTTTTGCTACTGACATATATAGCTATTAGTAGGAATAAATATGTATATTTCTTATGTTAAATTTTTCAGAATACTTCAGAAAGTTCAAAAACTGATTTGGGCTTCTTTGTTTAGCACGACAAGGTCTCTTCCCGCCGTATCACCTGCCTTCACTGCGGACACCCTGACTCTCTCACAGGGTGTTCCTTAGTCAGTTTTCCTGCAGGGAACACAGCTCCCTGCCTGTTTCGGAGTCACAGCTCTGCCAGTGTGGGGATGGGCACTACCAGAATCAGTGTGGCATTCTCCTAACTCCCCACTGTGGCTTCCAGGATACCCTTCCCATTCGTGAGCTGTCCACGCTCTCTTGAGCTTCATGCCATCCAAGTCTGTCTCAAGTAATTGTTACCTATGGACTCCTGATCACTCACTGGATTTCCTAGTTTCTTCGTCTTCCTCGCAGATGCTGGGGTGAACATCAGTATGTATGCAGTGACATTACGGGTGGCAGCACCTCCACGCCCGAAGGTCTAACCTTTGCCTCATCTCTGCCCTGTTTCATCCACCGATCGTATGGCCGCACTCGAGACCTCTCATCTGTCCAAATTCTAAATTCTGAAGTTCTGAGTCATTCTGAAGTTCTCAATAACTACCTTTACCTGTGCCCCACCATTCCTCCAGATCCTACTCCTCCCACTGGACTTTCTGGCCCGTCCGTTTTTTCTCAGTGTCTATCTCCCTCCCCACCCTCCACCTGCATGCTCCAATTCAGTCCCAGTCTAGACCCGGTCCCCAGTGTCCTCACCCCTTGTTCTCTGCTACCATGACTTTGACAGTATACAATTAGGACCAAACTAATTGTCTTGACTCCTACACCCAGGGGGCCAGAGAAGCATACAACCACGTAATTGCCAAATTAAAGAAGCCATCTCCAACCCTAGCCAGGTCACTGGTGACCACCGGCAATCTGGTTATCAGGGCCTGGCTGGTGCGGTGTCTGCTGCTCACAGTGCTGTGGACGTCATCAGCCCTCAAATCGAGCACCTCAGCCCACTGTTGTCCCTACTGTTCTCAAAAGACACCTTTCTCCTACTAAGACTTGTAGGCATGAATTCCCACCATCTTTTAAAGAGAACCCTACATTTTATCCTAAATCCCTCCCCTGCCAATTACTTCAAACTACTCAGCTCTGTATTTTGCCTGCTCTGTATTGAAACAGCTCTTTCTCAAGTCACCAGCCACTTCTAGTTGCCAAGTTTTCAGTGTCTGTCTTGACAAATCTCTGTGGGGATTGCCACTGTTAACTGTTCATTCTCAGACTCTCTCCCTGGCTTCCACACTCTGCTCCCACCAGCTGCTTTCCTTATTCTTCACTAGTTCTTCTTCACAGTCCCTGAAAGTTAGGTAGCTCCTAGAGTTGCATCACTGGTCCTCTTCCCAAGGTTCCATTCCCATGCTTTTATTACCACTTCCGCTCTTGTAACTCTCAAATCCACGGTCGCAGTGCCGACTCTGTTCTAGGTTTCATACTGGTGTTACTAACTGCCCACTGGACATCTCTGCCAGAATGTTCTGAAGGTAACGGAACTTTGCCAAACCACATTCATCTTATCTGTTAAACATGCTAATTTCCTGGAGTCCTTAGTTCAGTTCAGAGCAGCACCGAATACACAGGTGTGCATGGTACTAATTCTCAGCTTGACTACTGCGCTCATACCCTCAGAACTTCAGTAATTACACACTGTTGGTTCCACCTTCTGAATGTGGCTACATTGTTCATCTTTTCCGTCTACTCGGAGAGAGCCTTATCTCGGGCCTCCCTGTCTTCTTACCAGAAACGGCACGGCAGCCTTCTGCCCGGTCTGCTTCAGTCTGTCCCCAGGCCCCAGTCCGATCTCTTATCCATTCCACAGCACAAAGTGTATGGTGCCATTTCTTTACTTAGCAACCTTTAATGTTTCTGCAGTGTCTACATCACAGAATCTGAATTCCTTACCCTTTTTATCCATTCCAATGTGATTATTGAACACCTATTAGGAAGATACCATTTTAGTCCTGGAGACAGAAGAAGAGTAAGAGAAGACAGACCTTTCCTATTATGTGGACGTTATGTTCTCATGGGGAAAAACAGACAATAAATAAATACCATGTCAATAAGAATTTCAACCGATGGCGCCTGCTTGAAAAACACACCCCAAGGCACTAGAGTGGTTAGGCAATCCGGGAGAACTCCACTGAGGAGGCAGTCCCTGCGCTGGGCTGCTTTAGGAATCAGCCACACCTGAACCCGGGAGAACAGCGCTCCAGGAGGAAGGAACATCAAAAGCAAAGGGAGGTGGCAACAAGTCGACAGGCACAGGTCACTTGCACTTTGCAGGACAGTGTAAAGCACTTGGGTTTTATCTGACATTCACTGGAATCTTCCAATGTATATGGTTCCAAAGGAAATGATTTCTTTTCGAAAATCAACTTTACTGGTATAGTAATTTTCAAACAACAAATGTATACCCACTTGGGGTATACATTTAAATGGGTTTTGACAAATTTATACACCCATGTAGCTAAGATAATAAAAATACATAGGATGCTCCCATCACTACCAAAAGTTCCCCTGCATCCCTCTCCAGTTGAGCTGGTGCACTGATCCATTCATTTTCATGGGTGGCTAAGGTATGGATCAAGGTTCAGTACCCCCCCCCACAAAATGGATATCCAGTTGTTTTGGCACCATTTATAAAAAGACTGTCCTTTCTGCAATGGATTATTTTGTCTTGTTGTTAAAAAACAAAACAAAACGAAACAAAACTAGTTTATTTCTAAATTATTTATTCCAGTCCACTAATATTTATGTCTATCCTTATGCCAGTACCACACTGACCATACTGTCTGCCTCAATTATCTTGACATCCGCAGTGTCCAGAGTTGCTCTTGACACTTTCGGGGGTATCCATGCAGCCCAGGATGGTTGTGAATGAGGCCCAACACACAATCGTAAATTTATTAAAACATGAGATTTTTCTGTGATCACATGTCACAATGTATTGAACATGTGGCCCAGAGACGCCCAAAGGTTAGACACCCTGGTAGATGCTTGATGAATTGCTGAATTAATGAATTTCTCCAAAGGCTGGAATTATTACTCCAACTTGGTAGACAATAAAACTGAAGAGGTCCTGGGGGAGTGGGGAAGTGGGTGATAAATTAGCTTCGGACCATAGATTAGTTCATTGGGAAAGAAAAGAGTTCTCCTAGTGCCGCAGACTTCCACACTCCCCCTGAGACCAGAGTGCCTTCCTGTGCCAGGAAGACCCCCACATTACTCCACCCACGGGAATCGTGTGGCTCAGGCAGATAGCACAGGCTAAAAGGGCATGACAGATAACCCTGCCATGACTTTGTAAATGTTTCTCTTTACTGGGCCAAATGTGTGGTTTCCTTTTAACAGGGAAGTTGTAAATGCGATCTATTCAATACAGAATGGTTGGTAAGAGCGTGGCCTCAGGTTTTAGATAGGCTGGGCCAGGATCTAACCACCTTCATGGGCTGAGCTTTTATGACCAAGTACTTACAAGTATAGGACATTTAGTGTGATCCATGACCAAATGTACATAAAGCACTTCCATATTGCTTGGCTTGATAAACAAGAAATATTACCATGATGTATGAAATATCCTTTATTGAAATTGTGCTTTTCAAGTTGATTTTTAGTTTATCCTTCAAACGGTATCATTTAAAAGATATACCTTATTTTTGGTTTTGTTGAATACAGTAACTGTCATTCTACCACTAGAAATAAGTATGAATGCTTTTCAGCTCTGGGTCCTTTTGCAGAGACTCAAGTCTGAAAATGGGTCAGCTGCCCCTCTAAGCAGATGCAGCAGTGAGCATCTTGAGGGCAGTAGCTGGGTTCACTCATCTGGGACTCCCCGAGTCCCAGGTCAGAGCAGACACCCAACTAAATACCTTGGAAGAGAATGAGAGACAGGAAAAAATGGGAGATAGGTTCTAATAAATCTGTGTAGTAAATACACTGTAGCATTTTTTTCACAATGAAGATGAATGTAACACATGGAAAGATCAGTTTTAACAAGCATAACACAGGGGCTGTATTCCAATACAGCCCAGCCACATTGGTGTTACATTTTTGAACACACCGTGCCAGCCAGAATAAAGAGAAGGGGATACTGCTTGCTGCCCTAGTATATTTTAATAATGTCAGTAGGCTTTTGGCTAGAAACATAGTAACTGTTCTGAAGCTGCATCTAGTTCCCTTAGAGACCTTGAGATGTACAGAGGAAGATTTTTCACTTGAATGTAGGCATTTCAGTTAGCAAACTCATTCCTCCCTCCCCCCATTGTCTCTCATCCTTTCTCATTTTGACAAGTTACTAAGATACAGAAACATAATGTGTAATTTATAGGTTGTTTGCATCAACACATTTTTATTCTAAAACTCTCTGAACATTTATTTCTGAAAATCAAGCATTAAATTAACACTAATAATATAATCATTTTTAGTAACACTCCACTGTATCTCACACCAACCCTTGCAGTTCATTTTTTTAAAAACTATTTATTCTGTGCTGGGCGCACTGCTAGGGGCTTGGAGGAATGGGTTAGGAGTCCTACAAAGCTCAACCAGTCATAGGTTATGGCCACTTACAGTCTAATGGGGGGAAAGACACGATTTCAGTACATTCTGCAGCTGGAGTAAGCCTAGGGGTGGGTAGGTAGAAGGAGGAGCATTGGCCTATCTGGGTGACAGCTACAAGCATCCCTTCCCAAGTCCTCCTTCCCTTTCCTGTGAATCCCATAGATCAGAGGGGCTTTTTAATCTG